CTTGAAATTAACTGCTGTTCTGCTCACAAAAACCTTCTAAATAAAAAGACATGAAAGAGATAATAAAGTTTGTAAGGCAACATATTTTTGTAGGGATTATATCCTGGCAGAACTTTCATTTCTTCCTGAGGGTTGTCAGGTAACTCACAATAAGCAGAGTGATATAATGAGCAGACTGATGTGAAAATACTCAATTCGGAGAACGAAATAATGATAAAAGAGAAATTTTTACAACTACATTGTCACCATGACAGATTATCTTGCTCCAGCAATTTCCAAGGCTGTGGAATTTGATTTCCATAATATACAAAAATAATGGCTTCTTCTTTGGGTAGGAAAATGAGTGTTAATATCTCTAGTTATGCTTACAGCTTACAGACACCATCAGGAATAATAGAGTCGGAATGCTTGACACCATGCTGCTCTTTGTCTTTTGTGGCAAGTCAAGTCTCATGTTTTATGAAGGAAATTCTTAACTCAAGTTTCAGGTCCTTGTGAGTCATGCTGCCTTCAAATTGTACTTATGAGCTTGTGGTTACATGGGAAGATGTGTACACGAACTTTTGAATACCATAAAAGTTCATAAGGACCCTTCTAGCAAGCTGCCCATTTGAAGGCATGTCAACTAACAAGTCTCAAGTGGTGAATCTTGAATTAATTGCAAGTCGTTTAATCTCTGAATGCTGAAAGATGACAGGTATTCAAACATGCTCTTTTCATAGATTTTAATGGGGTTTAGGTAAGTTGCTTTAAAAATGTAATTACTCACTGAAAAAGTGCCTACATTACCTTTCTAATTACTCGACAGAAAAAGTAATGGTTTCTTGGCACAGTTAGCTCTGTTAAAAGTGCCTTTGAACAACTCCAAATCCTCTACACCCACGTCACATAATTATTTCACAGAAACAGAAAGTGAAACATTGTGGTTCAACAAGCATCCAGCCTATGTTTTTAACGTATTTACAGCTAGCAGTGACAGTAAAGCTGCAGGGTTTACAAATCCTCCAACTCTGAGCAAAATCAGTGATTCCAGGCTGAAGGCTTACCAGTAGCAAACATTAGCAAGCCGCAAACACTCAACATATAATTACATTAACTTTGGAGTTCCCAGAAGTCACATTACTTCTCTGGTGGAGGCTAGCCGCCTCCCACACCTCCAGTCCCTGTGCCAAGCTAATGGACCAGTCTGTGAAGTGAACACAAAGAGACCAAACAGATAATTCAACTCTCCATTAAATTCTCAGTAAGACAGCGAATAAGCTGACAAGCTGAGAAGCATTGATCTGTCCCCCCAAATGGACTTTCTAGATCTTACACCCCCCCACCATGCAGCCCCCTGTGTTGTTTTAACGCAGGTACATTTTTTATCTAAATCCCCACTTATTGAGATTAATAACTGTAATGTAATGACTGAATTTCAAATTGTAAAAAGCTAACCATGTTACTGTAACGCTTTGTTATATCTTCTAATATTAATAATATTAGTAATATTTTTATTTGTGATATTCTTTGTTCTCTGTTTTTGCACTACTTTGCCCTATTGCTGCTGTGTCAACCTGAATTTCTCCTAAGGGGGATAAATAAAGGAATATCTTATCTTATCTAATGCTTGGTCAATGCCAGGTCCAAACACAAAACCTTTTTTGGTGTCAAGTCTCAAATCCTAATTGTTGTGTCTTAAGCATTGACAGTATATATAATTGATAGAGCTTCAGAATATATATATATAAAATATAAGATAGGCTTTGAAAAGTGAAGCCAACATAGTGTCTTAAAATCTGCAGTTTCCTAACAAGTTTATGGTCTCAATCACTAGTTTAACATCTTCTTCCATACATTATGATGTTCATTTAGTAAATTATGGTCCAATTTAGAATAAAATAGACGATAAAGCTGCATATGCTTTTGGCCGTGGCTACCTTATGATTGACAGGTCATTCTCACTGAGTCGGTCCAGCTCAACGCACCAAACTCAGATCAAACTGAGTTAGTGCTGATCAAATACGAAGCTAGATTCTGTTACTGCGTTGACTATTTCTCGCTAGATGCTAACTAGTCTGTCCGTTTCTGCCCGGTGCTAAGCAGGAAGTGTACAGGCATATGATATTTACTTTGGGTCACTTCTCCCACATGTTGTGACACACACCCATAACTCTCTGCCAGTAGTTCCTGATGTGACACTGATCGGTCCATAACCATTGACACAGATCAGACACAAGCATAGCATAGCTTAAAGACTGGCAAGATGGATTCTTGTGTGATTTTGTAATTTCGCAAGTCCAGCTTTCTCACAAGGTTAGTTTTATGTGGCAAGAATGAGTCAAAAAGAGCTGTGAGAGTTAACCAAACAAAGCTGCAGTCCGTAAAACCAAAACAATGAACTGAAAGATGGTAAAAAAGCTCTGAGGACTGAGGGAAACTGCAGAGTCTGATTATAATTCTCTCAGGGTTTGTCATATGTGGTCTCACATACAAGTCGTCATCTAATCCATTATTATTATTTTTTTTTTTTAAAGATATATTGACTATAGCTGCTTTAAAATGAATTGAGTCATGTTTGGGGGAAAAATGCCTTATACATTTCGAGCATCCTGCTAGATAGTCAGGGAGGAAAATCTAAGAGATGTGAAGGTAAATACCGGACTCTTAAGGCCACAGCACAGACATTGGGTACAGAGCAAAACTAATATGCTGCCACAAGCTATTTGCAGATCATTTAATGGATATTGCATGTACTTTTGAACTGTTAAAAGACAGACCTGTTCATTAAATAGCTCCAGACAAGGTTGCCACTACATGGGTTAACTTCTGTGCGTTACCAGAAAAATATCATCTTGTTCCTTATCGACATATTTTTTAAATTGCAAAATGTTGTGGCAGCTTGGATTTACCTACAGCAGACTCCAAAATCTAAACAGAGAAATGGTTCTGTGATCCTACACATGTACACATTCCCTCACCTCCAAATACACACACACACACACACACACACACACATACCCTCACTCACATATTTGGTGGGTACATGGCTGCCCTCCTGGCACAGAGCCATAGCCATGTAACATAAGCAGGAGTTGAGAAAGAGACAAACGTCTGACCCTCCTCTGTCTGCCAGGCAGTCTGACGCTGTAGACTGTTCTTACTGTGCTGCTCAGACAAAGGAGTTAATATGAAAGTAAACACTTACAGTCCCCTTATTGTCACTGCTCATTCTCCCACTGACCTGCTCTCCCTTTCACAGATAGACAAAACAGACAACACACAAGGTCAAACAAGACAGGCGTTAGGATTTGTGGACAGCCTACTGGTGACCAGCTAATGTTGTTTTGTACTTTGTTTTTGTCATTATCAGGCTTAACTGAAGACACATGAGGAGTGAAGGAACAAAACATTAATTTTTAATAGATAAATAAGTAAAACAGGAGCTGAGAGCTATACAGGCTGAGATTATTATCCCAGGATAAAAGACCACAAACATATTTTAGCTGCCAGTGTGTGAATAAAGCCATTGAATAAGTCACAGACCCTGGGCAATGGCCATAAAAATTAACACACAAAATTGAAAAGAAGAAAATGTGTTTAGGCATATGATATTTACTTTGGATCACTTTGACTCCACTTAGTCCAATAAAAATGCTCACTTTTCCACTAAAAGAGGACTGACATCTTGCGGCTGCACACACACACACACACAAACAAGTCATGCAAAGATTTATACACATGTATGATTACACACTGGACACACTAAGCTCAATTGACATGCACACATATGTAAATGTGTCAGTGTGTGCATGATTTACTAGTCCAATTGTGGTGGAGATGTTTCGACATACTTGGTGGTTTTTCCTCTTTCACAGCAGTAATGGCGGGATGGAGGGGGGAGATCTACCAAACACAGAGCTTTTTATTATTCTGCAGAAACAGCTGACGGTTTCTGATTTAAGAATTGCAATTTCATATATAACTTCAGGTCATATTAAGTTGCTGCTCCTTCCTCAGGCTAATGTACAATTGGCCATATTTTTTCCAAAGTCATGAAAAACAGAGAGTCAATCTTGTCTGGAAGAGAATCAGACCTCAGTCTTTTTGTCTTTTGTTCTCTCGTCGTTCTTGTTTTCCATGTATTTGTTGTTTTTCCTGCCACATTAGTTTAACACCTTAGATTTTCTGAAGAAGAGAACGTCAGAGGTTTTCCGACATCAAAGGGTCTTAAACATTACCAGCAGAGGAACACAACCAACATGGAGTCTCACACAGAACAATGAAATACCAAAATACTGAACTAATGCTTAGTTTTAAATCTGTTTTAGAACTGAAAATACAGTGAACGCTGTAGTGATGTTGTACAAGTGAACAAACAACTTGTATTAATATCTTTCTCTCTTTTCTCTCTCTCTCTCTCTCTCTCTCTCCCCTCAGGTCCATTTAAAGGCTCCTATGATCTTGAATGGGGTGTGTGTGATCTGGAGAGGCTGGATCGACCTACAGAGGCTGGATGGGATGGGATTCTTGGAGTATGATGAGGAGAGGGCGCAGGTAACACAAACCATGCGTACAGTACAGACAGTCATGGGGAGTGCTACTGCATATGTGCCAAAAGTTGTATGACCGAACCCTTGAGTGGCTCCAAAGGGAGAGATGAATTGCCTTATGTGATGTCACTTGAGTCAGCATCGGTTGGGTTGGAAGACTTTCTGATTTCTGTCAACAGTTACAGTTGTGATGTTATGGAAATGTTGGAAAACAATAAAAGCTTTGGTCATAAACTATATATATAATAATAAACAATAGACACAGCTACATGTGATAGTATACACACCCAGAAAATGTACAGTCTGTGCAATATGTTCGACTGGATTGTCAGTTGTCAAGTTTCAGTGTGGGTAATGTAAGCGCCAGGTTTTGTCAATGCATGCAGAGATGCAAAGATGATATCTCCGGTTCTGCTGGTTTAAGTTTAATTTTTAAAAAACCTTTCGATTGTGAATCTGACTATGTTAAAGCAGTGCAATGCTAAATCTTTTAGAGTTCTCTTTTGAACAATATTTACAATATGTCTCTTTTGCCATTCGGACTTTTGTATCACACAGTGGGTAGAAAACTGAACTCACTCTCAGTCTCTATCTGTCCGTGTGTGTGTGTGTGTGTGCAGCATGAGGATGCTTTGGCGCAGGCAGCGTTCGAAGAGGCTCGCCGCAGAACCAGAGACTTTGAAGACAGAGACCGATCACACAGAGAGGATCTTGAGGTGAGAGGGCCCCGTAGGTGTTGTTCATAGAGGACTGATGCTGGTGGACTGTTACTGCACAGTGTCGCTCCAACTGTAACAGGACAAATCTGCTTCCTCTTTAGCCCAATCTTAGCCTCGTGAAGCCAGCCTAAATGTCATAAATTCTGATTCTAGTCTGGAAAACACCTGGGAGTCAACTATGAGTACTCTCTGTGTACTGTGGTTTACAGATTAAACATTTTGTGACTTTCCACCCTCCTGGTTCTTATCAGCCTCTACTTGAAGAGTAATTTAACACCATACTGAAATGCATCGTTTCACTTCTGTTTTGTTGCACCTCTGACCACAATCATCTTCATTGCTGGGTGTGGTCAGGAGTGGGCTCTGTTGTACCTTTAAGCACGCCCAAAAGTGATGATTCAGTGGCCACACCCTCAGTACAGTTCTGCATGAGCGAAAACTTTTGTAAAGTAACCACTGTGAATAAAAAGTGAAGAGAACCTGCATGACCTCAAATGTATGATTTAATTAAAAGAATTTATGAATTTATGACATTTCCAGAACAAATGGGTTTTTTTTCCAGTTTGAAAATGGGAAGCAAAGACAGTGGACATTTGTTTAAATGAGTCCTCCCTCGGCAGACCACAATAAGCAATGTGAAATTTCAATGTTTGTGGGCTGGCTTTGCAAGGCTAGACTTACCCAACTGGAAATTTGCAATTATTTTTTTCAGATTTACAAATTCATAGATGTTACCCAAGCATCATCAAAACTGCTTGTTGATAGTACGGTTTGCATTGCTTGCAGATCATTATTTGGTATTCTAAAATGACAAATGTCAAAGCAAAATTAAGAATAAACTTTTAGCAAATGTACCTTAATTTGATCTACATTTCCCATATTGTCCATATTGATTGGTGTTTAGAGAAGACTGAACAGCATTTTATTAAAGCCACAGAGTCAAATTTCCAGTAGGGCTTTCTTTGCTTAGCGCTTGGGGTGGCTTAGGGTTGTGTGATGTGTGGTTGTGTGCTTTAACTATTCAGAAAAAATCTAAATCGTATTGTTACAGTTTGAATCATAGGTTTAGTGCATGATCAGTTAGACCATAAATCTAATCTGATAATTAATTTGATTTGATAATATTTAACTATTGAATGACTGATTCAGTTTTGTCAGGTTTCCCGAAAGCCTCCGAAGGGAAAGTAGTTCATCTACTTTGTGCTACAGGTCACAGAAAAACAACTTAAATTTGATTAACCGAAATAACATCATATATATAACATATAATTTGCGTTTTGTTTGTTGAATTATCATCGTGTACAAATTTGTGCTGCCACAAGGACTTACATGTACACAAATTCAGATTCATAAGTGTATACAGTGTCCGCTTAAATTTTTAAATCGTCCCAAATGTTTTTAATTACTTGAGACAAACTCACTTTCCCAGCAAGGCTTTGGGGAGATCAATGGCATCCTTCCTAAGTTGACGCCCTACGAATGAACCCCAAATTGTTTATTTTTTAGGACCCTGTGGTTTCTAAAATCTGGGACTGATGACACACAGACAGACAGCCAGCAGAAAAGAACAGGGTCTGTGTCCTTCATTTCTCACCATCTATCACACTGTCATGCACTAAACCACCCTGTGTGTGTGCATGTGTGTGTGTCCACCTGTTTCATTTATGTACGTGCATTCTTGTGTGTGTCCATTGTCTTCTGTGTGTTTGCATTGTCCCGTATGTGTGTGTTTTTGTTGGTGTGCGTGAATGAATGTGCATGCACTTCTAATGAGTTGTATGACTATAGTATGTGCTCCTGCTTGTTTAATGCTTGTGTGGCGTGAGAGACAGCGAGATGAGAGCATTTCATGGCTAGTTTTCACAATGACACACACACACACACACATACTCATCAAGACCTACCACAGCTTTGCAGCACATGGTCCTGCAGAAATTAGGGAGAAAGGGAAGGCAGGAACTCAGCACATGAAGGGGGGGACGTACAGATGAGGAGAACAGAAAGACAGGAAAGAAAAAAGAAAGAGGCATTTATTGAAAGTCATCTTTCATCTGACTGATCTCATGTTTATTCCCTGAGGCTCTCTGAGAAAAAGGAAACCTTGTGTCTCCTGCTGAATCAATATAAGTACCATCACTAGCCCCTGAAAAAAGCATACACTCTGTAAAAAGTAATTTGATTTAGCTCTGAGAAGGATTTTGATCCAGATTTGGCATCAAAAAGTCATCGGTTCAGACATCTTTTGGACATGTGTAAAATCAGTGGCTATTCTCTAACTTCTGCCAGTAGATTTGCTGTGAATACCCACAACAAGGTAAAGTAAGTAGGAAGGTCAAGTAAATATAATCATTTTGGGAAATTAAATTAGTATTAGATGAGAACATTTTTACTATTCTTGTGTCTGTGAAGTGAAGTTAGAGCCTTTATTCTAGCTTAGCTTAGCACAAAGACTGGAAACAGGGTTTAACCTTGCCTGATTCCAACAGCATTCATTGAAGGTGCTTTTTGTTTTTGGTGAATGATGAACTAAACATCTCTATTTTGGGACTAATGAACAAGAATGTCAGCGTTGCAAACTCCCGCGAGAAAAATCTGTCTACCAGCTAGTCTGCAGCTCACTAATAACACGTTATATCTGCACACAAGCAGAATTACAAGTTGTAGTTTTAAACTGTAACTACTGGTGACCTGCGGTATCTGCCGGGAAACCTCATGGCTGTGGGCAGATTTTTAACCCTAAGCTAACCGTCTACTGGCTGTTGTGCCATCCTTACTAACAAACAAATACGAAAGTGGAATCAATCTCCACATCCAAACCTTCAAGCCAATGAATGGTGGTATTTCCCAAAACAAATCCTTTAGGAATAAGCAGAAAAGGCAGAGCTGTTGTTTTGGTGTGTGTTGTTTGTATTGCTAAATGCAGAGGGCACTTTCGCACAGTAATTTTTTTGTTGTTCCTTTAGCTGCAAATTAAAGTTTCTCCTGACCCTCAAAAACTAGTTTTCCCCTCCGCCACTATAAGCAAGTGCCCTTTTCATCAAACACATTTCTTTGCATCCAGTTCACTCCCCGACCGTTTTGATGAATGCACAGAATCAAAACCCCAAAGAAACAGCAATCATTTTTTGTTTCTGCAGTGTGAACAGTTTTCTGGCTGGAGTAATTATGTACCAAACAAAATATGTTTTAATCCAAGCCATAGCTCTGATTATCTCACACCAGAATGTGTGTGCAATGTTTTTACCATCATTTGTTGGGAAATCCTCACTGATAAGGATTCGAGACTAGGCAGCTCTCCCTAGACATAATTTCAAAATTTAAGAAAATTATTGAAATGCTTTCTCTCCCACGCCTAAAGTAGGACCAAACATGGGTCACTTTCAGAGTTTTGGGTAACTGATTTGACAAGATTAATAAAAAATATAAGTTCTCTATGGGGACATCATCAGTTGAAATGCCATACATTTTAAAATATCTCACTAGATATCTCAGTAATTGAATGCTTAACAATCAATTTTTGTCCTTGTTCATAAACTGAGGCTCTAGACATATTGAGTATGTAAGACCACAGCGGGTCTCTGACTTTACACATACTTTCTGGAGAGATGCTTTGTAGGCTTGATTTTTAGTGCTTGTTTATTATCCTGTTATGTGCAGTGCAGTAGTGACCTCTATAGAGTGTAGGCAGGGAGCAGAGAAAGAGAAGTGAGTAAACTAATGTTGGATGTGGGAGAATCTAGGTGGAGTTAATATTTTTATAAAGTTAAACAAGCCATTGAAATTTAGTTTCAGAACACAGTGTCCACATGAAATAGATTTAAGCTGGTTAGAGAGAGCAGTCACAGTGGGGTCCTGCAGATCTGCTCCGAGCAGTTTCTTTGGGTGTGACTAAGGACCTTTACTGAATAGCTGCACAGATTCAGCCACAGCATTTCTGTGGTCTGAACTCCTCTTCTCCTTCTCTCTCTCTTTCTCTCTAACTCTCTCTGGTTAGCTGGTGATCTATTTATCTCTCTGTCCCGTCTATACTTCGTGTAATTCAAAGGCGCAGTTAACTTCTTCTGTGGACCGGATAGAAAAAAGGACGTGCCATACAGCAGTGTAGGCGTGCATTTTTCATGCTTGCATTGTGTATGAATGATGGTTCACTGCACAAATATCACTCTACCAACAAAATGAAATGTTTAAAAAATGCTATTTAAACAACATTTCAGTATAATTTACATATCTGGAGCATTCACAAGACCTTGACCATTATCTTCAAAATTTTACAGCCAAAATCTCAACCTGAGTAAACATCTGTTAAGCATTACTTAAACCATAAACATCCCAGTCACACCCAGAATATGGAGGATTTTAAAGGGTATCAGTAGCGCTATATAAGTATGAGACTTACTTATCTGGTAATTGTCTATGATAAATAAAAATTTAATTTAAAAAAACTTTTGGGGAAAATTATGCCACTACAACTTAAATCTTATTTCTTTTATTGGGTTTGAGTAAGTTACAGTTTTACATTATATTATATTTATATTATAGTGCAGCTCAGCTGAAAAACCCCTGATGTCTTTGTTTCACTGCTGTGCTCACTGAATATGAAGCTGTTTCTCTTTCAATTCCTGAAGCTTTATCATTTTGGCAGATACAACATTTTTCATCCCAAAGCACTGATATTCCAGTCATTCAAGGTCAGAAGGCACCCGTCAGGATGATGGATGGAGAAGCAATAGATTGAGAAGAAATGCGCCTTTTAACTCCACACACACACACACACACACACACACACACACTTCTCAAAGTGCTCAGCAGAAAGACATTTGGTGGTGAATGATGACCTGGCACTGAAAGCATTAATATATCATTAGTATTGATCGCCATCAGCCCCCCTGCTTTGACTTACATACACACAAATACGCAGTCAGATACTGTACGGGCACATATGTGCACAAACTCGCAGATACAGCAAATCTACTCTACGTTTGTCACCACACACACATACATACACACACTTCTCCAGTATTGAGTTGTGGTTAAGCTGCCTACAGTGGCCCCAGCAGGCTCCCATCTGTGTGTGGATCAATACAGAAGCTCTCCTGCCCTTATGATTAGCAAAGACCACTCCCTTCTACAAAGACAAACACGCTACACGGCACCAAATGGCCGTGCTGCAGCAGCGACAGTGCTAAGTGAAAATTTGTTGTGTTATCCATGTGGATCATGTGAATGTATTTTACACCACTCCGACCTCAAAATAGCATGTTATGATATTGGAGGATGTAAACAGACAAACAGGCAACCAAGTGTTTGCTAAAAGGAGTGCACTTGATGGATAGGACATCTGCTTTTCCTTTTTTCTCTGATTTTAATTTATCACACTCTGTTTCTGTTGAGCCATTGCAAGGGGGTAGGGGCACATGATCAGAGATCAGAAAAATGTGAAGTGAAACTGAAGTTGAATAGGCCTTTCTCACAGCGGACATTTTTGTCAACTTGTCAAACACAGGTGTAGCTGCTCACGTGATCAACTGCTGCTGGGGAGAACTGTTCATGTTATCAGTGCCACCTGTGCCTCTTCCTGCCACGACAAGTCAGAATATCAGCTCTCTGTGAATCAGGTTCATCAGGGAATGATAAAGACAAAAGAGCGCTCAAAATGTATTGAGATATCAAAACAATATGTGAAGTACAAAGTGGACACATTTGACAGGAAAGAAGCAAAAAGCTGGAGATGCTCATTAAACAAACCTGTCAGTCAAATCAGAAATATAACACTCATCTAGCAGCCGCTACAAACGACCCCTTGTATACACAAGTAATCATGTGACCCATTGTTAATATAAAAATACTCATTATAGCAGCTCTGGCTTAATTTTGCAACTAAAACTCTTTGGTTTGGGAAAGATTGTGATCATAATGGTTATAAGAGGTCACCATTATTAGACCTTTCTTACAGCAGCCCTTTTGATGTGAATTAGTAGCATAAACACAGGTGTTACCAATGATATTAATTAGGTTTCTGTTCCATTTAGTGTAGCCGAGTCTGTTTGACCTGAATTGAACAAAGCATTAATTAGTACCACTGATAAGACCTGTGTTTACCCTACTACTCATGTAAATGCTGCTGCTGTGAAAAAAAGGCATATTGTCTGATATAGACATGTCCATCCACCATCTTGATCTCCACATTCGTACTTTTTGCCTCGCTACAGTAACATCACACTGCTTCTCGCTCTGGCATTGGCTGTGAACATGCTGCAGAATCATCCGATAAGTCCAAGGTAGACTGGGCTGACACACACACACCAGCACATGCAGTGTGTCTCTGTGTTGAACAATTAAAAGTAGAGTTTATTGTGATTGAAAATCAAGTCGTTGTAACTGAGCCACACGTGGGTATCTCATAGCAGACGTTCTGATAAAGCAGCAAAAGGCTTTCCAGAGGAGGCAGACAGGAACTGGAGTCAGTCTGGCTGCGAGGGGTCAAAATGGTAGTATGACATACTGTATGTGTGTGTGCATGTGACTGTGTGTATGTTGCTATTATGGTGAGTCATTGAGATGACACAAGCTACATTCCAGTTGAACTAAGCAACCCCTTTACTATCTCTGTCTGCATTTCTGTCTGCTCTGCTCTCTGCCTCACCTCTCCCCACACTTTGTCACCTCCCCTCTCCGTTCACCCCTCTTCGTTCGCCCTCCCAGCTTCCCTCGGCTATCACTTAAGTGTAAACATGTAACCACAAGTATTTTTTACAGCAGGAGCAGGTCATACCACGGGCTCCCAAACACACACTCACACACACTGCAACCAGTCATGAAATATATTTAAAAGTCTTGTCATGCTGATGGCTTCTAATGATGACCTAATGATCCACTTGGTGTGTGTGTGTGTGTGTGTTTATGTGTGTGTGTTTATCTGTGTCAGGCAGCCTGCGTGTCTGCCAATTTATCTGTCTGTCTGTCTGTCTGTCTGTCTTTATGCCTGTCCGTCTGCCAGCTACCTTCACTAAAATATCAACATCAGTAAAGTGTATTAACAGCAGCACTTAGTGTTGTTATGATAGAGAGTGGCTCCCCCTAGTGACAATTTGTACAACTACAACTTCTTTTTGATGGGTCCCACATCAGCCTGGAGTTGTAGAAGAGGTTTTTCATCCCACAGGAACCCTAACTCCTAGTTAGTTACCTTCCAAACCCTCGGAGGTAACATTTTATTTTATCTCACCATTTATGAGCAGGTAATAAACAAAAGATAAATGGTTTATAACACACCACAGTGTTGTTGTAAGCAGATATAAGGCCATTTTTAAGTGTTTACTTTGTCAACAATTTTAACCGCTCCTGTAAGGATTCTCAACTGGTGTATGAACAGTAGATGCTTCATAACACAGTATATTATACTCAAATGTGTCTTTATAATATAATTATAGAATATTATATATTGCACTTTATTGCACTATTCTTGCAATACTGTAATGTTGAAGTTGCCCATCTATGAGATGACAATACCAGCAGTGACCCCAAGCCAATTTGGTCTGATATATATGATTACTCTCATACAGTGCAAACATGAACTGTTCATACATGAGCTATGGATGCTTCATAGGATGAGTTATACTATATACAAAGACATTAATTAACACTTCCACCACAATTGTTCTTAAAGTTGTTTATCACTTCAGTGTTAAATAGTGTGTTGTGCCATATATTAATTGTTTATGTACTGCTTATAAAGGTTTTAAGTTGAAAAGTGTTATCCAATCAGTAAACAAACCAGGCATATCATGAAACCTTACTGTTACTGATGTTGAGAATGGTGAAATGTTTACACCAGTATGTCTTTATCTTGATACTTGAAAAACTGTACTTAATTTGTTTCTTTCTCTCTGATCCCTTTCTTGCTATCCCTCACATGCCCTGCTTCCTGTCTCCTCATCTGTCTCCTTTCATTCTCTCCTCTCCTCCACTCTTTTCTCCCCCCTATTTCATCCCTCCATCCCTCTCTCTCCCCAGTCCAGACGACAGCAGGACCCCAGCCCTGGCTCAAACATGGCCAACGCTGATGTGGAACACAAGATGCGCTGAGGAGGACGAGGATGAGGAAGTGGTGGGAGGAGGAAGAAGAGAAAACCAGGGCTGGCTGTCTACTCACTTTCAATGCAATCAAAAAAAAATGTCAACTGAAACTACAATTGTAGAGCAATTGTTCACCAGTATTTCCTAACAGGTTTGATATGATCGTTTTCACACGCCAAACATTTTTTGAGATATTTAAATGTAAAAGACAATAAACGTCCTAAATTGATTGAATTGAAAGTGATGCAAGCCCTAGAAAAGAAGGATTACAACGAATAAGGACACAACAGACCTGGGCAAAAAGTAGTTGAATATATTTAAATACAGAGGAAGGAACGTGAGCAGTTGATTTAGCATTATATTGCAAATGTGACACACATCCAGAGTTGAAGTTATATAAGAGATCAAGTCATTCAATAACGTTGATATTTTTTGTCCAGGTCTCAAAGGATTTGGTGGATCAGGGTAGTTTCAAAAGTACCAAAAGTATATTTTCTATCAATACAAGATGGTCAAAATAGAGAGGTTAAAGATGTCATTAAGGAGGACAGACAGAACCTAGTAGGAGCAGTGAAAAGAGAGATTGATCTGATTCAGGGTCAGAGGTCAGGGCTTATTGATCAGGATTACCAGTAGAGCATGCATTAAAAGTGAGGAGTTGACCATTTGTGAAAAAAAGAGAAAGGATTCGGCATTGTTCCATGTTGTGCAACACTTCACATTTGTGAACATGCCTGTGTTAACCCCCACTATGCCTTGCTCACTTCCTGAAACCTGCTGTTTTCTTTGACCAAAGTTCACTTTGCTGGAAAGGGAGGGAGGGGGGAGGAAAGGGGGGATGAAAGAAGGGGAAACTAAAAGAAGGAGAAACTGAGTCGCATTTAAAGAGTGGGCAGGTGGGAAGAGAGCATCCAAAGAGAATAATGCAAGGTCGTGGGGTTAAGAAGTGTTTGCTGTACTATGATAATCACAGTCTCTTTAAAACATGCCCTGACTATAGAATCACAGGTTATGTAGCAACAACCTCGAGGCAGGACAGCTAACAAACAAAACTGCTACACACTCTACTATCTTTGGCTCTGGAAGTGTGTGTAAGTGTGTGTGGGTGTGTGTGGGGGGGTAATTTCAAATGTCCTTTGTCTTCTGAGGGGTTTTTGCACTATGTGATACAATCAGTCTTGCTCCCCACATGGCTTTTCTTTATATGCATGAAACAAAACACAGGCCTACCTATGTTCTTTATTGTTCCCTATGCAGCCTATTTATCGCGAGAGCACTCTCTTTACAGCGCTTTGACAAGGAATAACTGGGTGATTCAAGGTTATTTCACCAAATGACAGAGCACAAAAGCATCTTTTATTTAGTCGCCATATGTTTGTGTCCTAATGAGAAACTTGAGCAGATGTGCTCTTGTTATCAGCTCACATGCTGCTGTGGTGTCATGAAAAAATGAACTCCTATGTTGTGCATGAAGGTAGTGACCCTACTTTTTGGCGCTTGTCCTTTAGAATCTGTGCACACCTGAACCAAAAATTAAGTGCTTTGCGTTTTCATAGCCACAGGGTCATCGTAACATAGCAGCACTGTCCAGTGAAAACTATGTAGCTTTAAATTTTTTAGAAAAACTGAAGGATGAAGTGTTCCTTTATGGGTTCAGAAGAATGTCCTACTTGGTAAGATAAATAAACCATTTAAAAAGCCATCGGATTATCTGAATTATGCATTGTCGCAAAGCTGAAAACAGATTTTTTTCTTAGCTTGTGACCTTTTGGAGATATGTGGATTTCACTGGACAGCAATGATAGGTGACATTATATGCTACTATTCAGATGGATATCAGCCATGACAATCTCTTCAAAAACACACGTGTCACAAGTCACGTCAATCAATATTATTAATTTATCAGCTCAGATCATAGACTCCAGTTTAGTTACAATCTATCTATTGATCACCCAGATATTCCTCATCATTAAAGGACTGCCGATATGCAGTCTTAATACTATTCCCTGTCCTGTTACAGCACTAGTGTAGTGAAATGCTATGTTTTGTTACTTTCTCGTTTTGTTTGTGTGAAAGTCATGATGTTTACTTTTTATATTACTTCTCACCTCTGTATATGTATTCGTTTTTGTTCATCTTTCAGCTTTGTTATGAACTAGTGGTAGCAGCGGTAGGTTATTTTATGTAAAGTTAAAAACTGCAAAATGCCTCCAGAAATCTGGGAGTTTTGAGGACTTTTGTTGCTCTTGTTTTTCATTGTTTCATGTGTTCCTTTTATTAATGTTATTTTTATTTTTTGTAAGGAAATCCACTTCCTGGGTTAAATACATTGAATGTGGATTGACTCGACTCCTGTTTAGGCGATATAAATGTTTTTATATTGTGCAACTAGAAGCTCATTTCATTTTTTGTTTTGTTTTACATTTAGTGCACTCAACGGTTTTATTATAACTATTATAACCAAGAAAAATCTTTTGTTTATTTGTGTTTTACTCAGTCTGACTTATTAAGAAGAGAAGAATTTTAAAAAACTGGTGATTTTTTTTTTCCATTGAGAGCCATGTGTTTGTAACATTTTAAAAGAGTAAAGAAATGTTCTTGCCAAAATTTAATGGTTGACATTAAAATAAAGAAGTGAATTAAAAGCTCAGACTTGATGACAGGACCCTGGTCTGACAGGCTACAGGGAGGTTATACAATTTTAAAAGAACTAAAAGGAACTGCTATAGCTGCAATGCAACACATTTGTCAAGTTTTCTACAGCCTCATTAACAAAAACCCACAATAGGCTCAGGGTGCAACGAAAAACAATGCAGGATTTGGACATTTGGATACTACATGGAAGGACTTAATTGGGTTGACCTAAGGTCAGAAAATGTACTTTCTCGTTGGCAGGCATTGTTCATTTTCTCCTACAGAGATTTGGGAGACTGGGGAGAAAAGCTTACATGTTTCCCTTTTTCTCAGAGCACACTGATCCTGCAAAGTCAGCTGGCCTTGTGACTCGGTGCTTAATTAGTTCAAGAATGTGGAAAAAATACTTTCTGTCTGAGGGCACCTTCAGTGTGATACGTGTTGGATTTTTGTGACTGAGTTTGATAGTGTTATGTTGAAAGGTCCAGCAGATGCGACACAGTAGTGAAGTGGCATTAAAGACTTTGGATGAGGAGGTGAAGTGGGGTGGGGGGACAGAGGAAGGCACTAGAACATGAGGGAGTATAAAGCGGGTTATGGTATATACATGTTGGTGAAAGTTGTCATATTCACAGGAACTTACAGTGGTTGTTATGTTTCTATGAAGCTGAGTCATTCTTCACTTGCATCCAGTGTGGAAAAAGTTTAGGGACCCCAAAAATACAGAGCAGGAAGTTTTAGCTTTGATTCAAGCAGTGTAGGTGGTGGTGCAAGCTGCTTTTTCAAAATAAGATCAGTGGGAACTGACAGAGTGTTGGGTAGGAACCAATATGAGAGGTGAGATGTAGGTGGACAGTCAGAGAAAGTACAGTTTGGAATGATGTAGCCCATGCTTTCTGTAGGTTTTTGGAAATCTGTAAGTCATGAATTAATTGGTTATGCCGGTACTAGAGCTAGACAAGAACCGATCAAGCTGTTTCTCAGATAAATCTTAGAAACAGCACCACCCGTGTGTGGTCTCATGCAATCTGCCATATCTGTAGAAACTGGCGCAACTCTTGGTCAACCTAAAAAATCTATGTGTATGGATTTACAGTGTACTCAGGTTAAGAATCAGTGAGGGGTTGCTTAGAAGTGACAAGTCAAATTTAGGAAGTTACCACAGCGTACCACCCCGTCCCCATCACACCCACACAGTGTATCAATGTACCATTATTTACAATGGTTAGCCATGTAAACAACTTAGTTGATACTCCATCACTCATTTTTCTTAATGCAGGCATTAAGGCAAAAAAAAAGAATAAATCAGAACCATTTTCTTTCTCTCTTTTTTTTTTTTTACCTAAACTGTTCTTTCGTTTAAGTTATTTATACTTTGGTTTTATTTAGAGATCCAAAGAAGAACTCTGTGATATTTAGTGGCTTGTACACACTCCCCAAGTTCCTCCTTGTGTGATCTGTCTTTCCCTCCGTTTTAGCGTTGAGCTTGTCCTCTCAGAGGAATCTGAAATATAAGATATTAAATTTAAAATGTTGGATGTTTTTCATAATAAACATGTATGAATTCTTGCATTTCTTTCCTTTCTTTACAGTGAGACTTTACTGTAATTAAAGACCCTACTCACCTCCGACCACACCGGTGTTTTCACTTTGCCTGACCTCCTGTTAGCGTGGAACAACTTTTACAATTCTTATGACGTTGCCTTTATAATTCTTACAACGTCGACGTCAGCAGTCTAATCAGCCAGAATAAGTGCAAACACCTGTGTGAGTATGCGGGGTCAACAGGCCGTTTTCACAGCTGACATTCTGACTCGTCAAACATTGGCTCCCAGTAAGCCAGGACAGTGAGACAGTGAGACAGTGAGACAGCAAGCACAACCAGGACCCTGAAACTGAAGCAGTTAAATGGAATTCAGTCATCATTTGTTTTCCTATGTACACCTGAGCTTTCCATACTGTGACAAGTGTCAGAGGCATTAACATATTAAATCAAAATTTCTGGAATAGACAGTACAATTTTTTTGTTCAGGTAAGGAAATTGAAACTAGATTACAGTGAAGAAATAATCCCCAATAAAACTGTTGACATTTCTGTCTTTTGGATTATCCTTGGTGGACATTGCATGAGTTTCTGGAGAGAGATGCTTCAAGCGCCACAAATGAACTCCTATTTGCCAGCATTGTTTTGGGTTGGTGGCAGACCTTTCAGAGACAGATAGTATCTCAAAATCTGGAAAAATGAAATCCAAACTATCTGCATGGCTAGATACTGCTGTGTGAACTGACCTGTTAAGGTGATTATTAAAGCCGTCACTGGAGAAGCTAGTCTGTGAATTTGCAAATTCAGAAATCCAGCAAAATAAAAACTAAACTAAGCTGCATGATACAGAAATACAAAATAGTCCATTTGTGTTAATATGGTTGTAGTCTTACTGGCAGTAAGTAGCCTAATCCGTAATAATAGACAGTGAAGTGTTTAAGGACACCATTAATTTCACAGAGAGAACACTAACATATATTTATACATTAATGTATTTTTTTTTTTTTAAACCTAGCCACTAACCCTTGAACTCAAAGAAGCTCAAAGATATGTGGTCTGTTTTTGTTTGTTTGTGTTTTTACTGTTACTTTTTGTTTCAAAAAATGTTATGTAGAAAACGATGACGTTATATCAGGATAGGATAAAATCATGAAACATGTGAAACATCCTTCCAGGTATAAAGGTATCGGCTATTATGAACATATAAAGGGAACTGTATAATTAAAAAAAAATAAAGTTGAATTCAAACAAATTAGACTAAATAGGCCTATAGTATGCCTAGCTAACAAAACTAAAATAAAGGTCTCTCTGTCCTCACTACAGTAGTAAAGTTAAAGTAAAGAGTTGCTTAATGCTGTCAAACTATCGGGATCCTGTGTGTCAGCTGACCAAGACGTCATCACGTCAACCGAGAACGTGCGTCGGACACAGGAAGTTGAATGATCAGCTGATCCCGCTGGCTGTTGTTGATGCCTGAAGTTGCTGTTGTTTGGACACTGTGTTGCTCTTATCTGCTCCTGACATTGAAGACGCATTAACCCCGATAAAGGGACACGGTGGGCATTTACCGGCTGTCGAGCGTATGCGTAACAAGGGAAGCGTCTCACAGCGAGGACTCTGAATTTGCGCACTAGCGGCAGAAGAGCTAGCTCCAAAAGCTCGAACCATCGGCAGAAAAGAAGAAAGACAAACAGCCGAACACAGGCGACGGCTTTGGCGTGCTTTCTTTGTTTATGTCGTGCCAGTCCGAACCGCTACATCGCTTTTCTTTGTCTTGAACTGAGGTTGTTTTTTTCCTGCACGTACGTTATTTATATTTATACTTCGGTTACCATTACGCGGAGGGCAGCTAGCTCGTCAGCTAACGTTAGCTACCGCCGCGCAGAGAAACAGTGTTGTTGTGAAGCTTTGAAGCTTTCGTAACCGGCCGACGGTGGCACATACCGACCGCTCACAGCGACAGGAGCCGGCTCTGTGTGCGTGTTTGTCCCCGGTGCTCTGTCGGTCTGTGGGAGACACAGGACACAACACTGGAGCCGAACAAGTTGATGTTGTCTCGTTAAACCGAAGACGTGTGAGCCAGTTTGACTCATCTGTTTGTTTGTCCCTGACTTCGAATCGACTGAATTCATTAGTTTTTTTTATCCTCATCGATTTAAGAGCACACGAACAAGCGATCGGTTCACTGACAGCTGGCCTTGTACGTTTTTAGGTTGGCTGGCAGGTTGCGTAATTTGTTTGCGAGCAAGCTGTCAGCCCTCGCTGTGTAACTTGTTAAACTGTTATTTAAAACCTATGTATGTCTGTGAGCCTTAGGTGATCCGTGTGTTCAGCCTTAGGTAGAGTTGTGGATGTCGTTGTAGGTATTTAATCCATTTTATCTGGTACCGCTTTAATGTGTAGAACATATGACATGTGATAAAGTGGCCACTCTTGACTGCGATCCACTGGTTGAGAAGCTGTTCGAGGCTCACACTCGTGAGTTTGGTCGCTTTAGAAAAAGAAGTAGATAGAGTTATGAATTAAAGTAGCCCTCTGAAAGTGTTGTGATCAGGGAGAGACAGGCGAACAGAAAGGGTCCCTCAGAGGGTCCCATTGTGTCTTGAGGTGAGCTGCCCCCAACTACTTGCCAATGCTGGATCTGGAGGTGGTGCCTGAGAGATCACTAGGAAATGAGCAATGGGAATTCGCCTTAGGTGGGTTTCACGACAACCTTTTCAGCTTATAAGAACAGAACTTACACTGATAGAGACTACAAGCCTTTCATTAATGGTTGAAGCTACATTTACAATGATTTTCACTGGCATGTTATTGTTCACTGTTAGTGGCTGAGGCTCTGTAAGAAATGCTGTTGCTTCTCTTCATTTGTGTGTGTGTGTGTGTGTGTGTGTGTGTGTGTGTTTAGGGATGCCATTGGCCCAGGCCATCTCTATTCTGCAGAAACACTGCCGCATTATCAAAAACGTCCAGGTGCTATACAGTGAACAGGTAAGCTGGCCAAATGACTGTCCTCCTTATGTGCTCTGTGCCACTCCCACACACGTAAATGTTAATAAGCTTGTTCAAGAATCCTGTTTTAGGCAGCAGTTCATGGTTTGCATGTTTTTCTGTGTGGCAGGTTGCAGTCTGGATATTAATATTGTTTTCTGTATTGGCTTGTCACAGATAAATCTTTTTGAGATTTTGAGAATAGAGATATAGATAAAGTGTTGCCGTTACATAATTTGTCCACCAGAGAGCCCTGAGATTTAGTTTCCAAACATAAAGTGTCCCGCTCAGCACTTACTTAAAAAGGTCTTAATCAGAAAAATGTGTTTATGTTACGTGTGTATAAAATGAATATAGGCTGATATATCGGTATCTGATTTTTGAAAACCCAGACATGCGCTGCATAAATCCACTATCAGTCGGGCTGTATTGAAATTCTTTCCCCAGGTTCAGTAGCTATAAATAAAGTCAGGGAGCGCTGTTGTTTTTAAAGCACCATGAATCTTAGATTCCAGATTTATTTGAGAAGAACTGGAAGCAGTTGTTCATGTTAACATAAATAACACCAAATAAAACTAGCATATCACATTTTCTGTCTTGTTTGAAATATATGTGCAGTGTGTGCCTTGTTTCTCTTAAATTCGCCGGCTGATTCTCGTTGTCTCCATATCCGTTCACGATGACACATCCCGTCGCCTCTCTGTTAATGAACTTGTTTGTTTATCTCCCCTCCAGACGCCACTCAGCCATGACCTCATACTGAATTTGACTCAGGATGGGATTAAACTGCTGTTTGATGCCACAAACCAGAGACTCAAGGTGAATATTGTTGTTCATGTTTAGGGGTTAGCTGGTGGCTTGATGTGATAGAAAGACTGTCAGTGGGCAGCAGAACCAGTGGTGGGCACTGAGACTCCAGTTCAAAGAGACTTAAAGGTCCAGTGTGTA